ATTGTTGAAGCGATCGGTAAGGATCTGGCGCTGTTCAATTTTTGTAGACCCATCGAGACGCAAGTAGCGATGCCCGTGGATGTTGAGGAACTGCTCCAGGATATCAAGGACCTTTGTCATTTGAGTGAAGATAAGAGCACGGTGACCACCAGCTTGCAGGTCCCGGAGGAGTGTTGCAAGACGTTGCAGCTTTCCGCAATCGTACTGAAGCAGGCGTTTATCAGGAAATGCAATGGACTGCCGGATGCGCGATGAGTGGAAGGGATCCGGTTGGTGAGCTGCGTCTGAGGCTCGGATGAGGTCAACACCACGTTTGGATAAGGTTAGTGGAGCAAGCTCCTCGGCGGCAACAGCGGGTGTGACACATGTGAAGCGCGTGATTAGGGGCTCAAAGGCTTCAGCGCGTTGCTCCAATGTCGGAATCATGTCGAAGAAGTGTGTGATTTGTTGATCGTGCCATTGTGATATTACTCTTTGAGAGCGTGGAGACCTGAATCCGAGACGACCATGATGTCGCTGAACAATATCGTACTGTATCGCATCCTCTGGCCTTGGCTGCAGATGCGCCTGGCCAAAGCCATGATACGTCGCATGAGGAGGGTGGTGTGATCGGTAAAGTGGTGGTCTGGGTACCTTCTTGCCTTCGGTGATGGCACCAAAAGTATGCTCGTGCCAGTCGACCGTCACTGCATCGATAATGTCCTTTCCGTATATCGGCATGAACTGGGTACGAGCGCGTGTGAGAGCTACACATGTCTGCAGATGGTCTCGGACAGCCACCTGCTCTCGCTTGGCCATTGCCGCCATTGCCGATTGCAGTGGAGACGTACCCGCCTCGACAGGTTTATTGATGCGTCGAGTTTGACGCTCAATCAGGTCTTCCAAAGGCCGGGTGGCACGGATTGGATAAGTACGTCGGGCATGTCCCAACTGTGTCTGCTCCCGTCGCGCAAAATTGAGATTCAGAGCATCCAAACTTACTTTTTTATCTTCCATGCCTTCTTGCAAACGCTTGCGAATAAGAAGGTCTTTGATCTCGTACTGCGCGGCAACGGATTTTGGCATTGCCATGGATGTGACAATGGCTCGCGTTTCAAACAAATCAGGATGATTACAGACCTTTCGCAATGACATTAAGCAGTTGATAATGGACATGTAGTTGCCCGACGACAAGATCTCCTTTGTCGATGCGCGGCCCATGAACCCATCGTAGAGCTGACGTTGCCGTTTGGAGAGCTTGCAGTAGACTACATGCTCATATTTCCCTGGCATCTGCTTTTCGACTTCAGACTTTAGTCTTCGGAGCAGATACGGCCTGAGGACCTCGTGAAGTCGCTTGACAATCTTCTGTGCTTCTGCATCAAGCTGTTGACGGCCCTGATCCAAGATTTGAGATGTAGGGTTCTTCAGGGCAAGTGTGAATTCCTCCAAACCAGCAATGCGCCCTTCTCCAGCAAAGCCAGCCGGCATCAGGAAGTACAGCAGCGACCAAAGCTCATCAATATTATTCTGAAGAGGCGTTCCTGTCAACAGCAGTCTTCGCTCAGTGCGAAGATTGAGCATAGTCTGCCAACGCTGAGACTTGAAGTTCTTGATATTATGGGCTTCATCGAGCACGAGGTAACGCCAAGGACGCATCTTGAAAGCCGCAGCATCTTGGAGTATGAGTTGGTACGAGGTGATGACCACGTTGTACATGTCCTTGCCTGTGTTGCGCCATCCCAATCGCTTCCGTTTCCGCTCGTTGATATCGCCGTAGTAAGTGAGGATCTTGAAACCAGGCAAAAATTTCCGAAACTCCATTTCCCAGTTGAGCATGACACTCGTGGGTACCACAACCAAGTGCGGCCCCCAGATCTCGTGGCGGACAGCAAGGTAGGCCAAAAGTGAGATGGTCTGTATAGTCTTGCCAAGACCCATTTCGTCTGCTAGGATACCGTTGGTGTCGGACTCGTACAAATTCGCAAGCCAGTCCAGTCCGTCGTGCTGATACTCTCGGAGTGTGCCTCGTAACAGAAACGGGACCTCGGTCCTCGGGGGCGAGGATGCGTGACGAGACCGAGAAACATTTTTAGACTGTACAACATCTTCCATTGGAGTAGTCTCGGTGGGTTCGACCGATTGTTGAGGTTCGGCGACCTCAATGGAAGGTGCAGGCTCTGATGGTGCCGCATTTCCGTTCACACACGGTTCATTATTTATGGCAACCGCACCATGTCCATTGACATGAGGTTTCTCCTCCTCGTCTTTCATGGAAGTGTCGGCGTGGCCGTTAACCTGCTCTGCCGTTTGTTCCTCGCTCTCCGGCTCATTGTCCTCGATTGCGGTTTTTGCAGCTTCTTTCAACTTCTTCACATCCTTGGGTGCCAAGAAACCCATCAAGCCAATGTCTTCTTCTCCACTGTTATCATCGTCTTCTGCCTCCGAGTCGTCGGCGTCATCCCCGTCGTCTTCAGTCCCAGATCCTTCATTGCTTGACCAAGCTTCACTACCGGATTCCGAGCTTTTGTCATCGTTTTCCGAATCCATGAGGGCGTCGTCAACCTGATCGAGTTCTACAGTAGCCGGGTCAATGTAACCTGGCTTCTTCTCATCCTCATTCTCTTCATGGTCATGGAATCCGTTCGCAAGCGTTTCCGGGGGGTCGTCAAGATCTTCAGTTTCGATATCTGGGTCAGGGGTCGGTGCAGGCGTGCCCTCTTCCTCCTCTTCATCTCCGTAATCATCCTCATCCTCGGAACTAGTCGCCGGTAAATCAGGGAGTTGGCCATACTTTTCGCGTAGCTGTTCAGCGGTAAGATTCGCATCATCGTCCTGCTCGTTTTCCGGTTCACTATCCGAACTTGAAGACATGACATCGTCATCAAGCTGTTGTTCAGATGTATTTGAGACCGCACTCTCGAAGTCCTCCATGTCGTCGAAATCTCGATCTTCGCTCATCAGCGAGGATGCACCATCACCAGCGGTGCGACCTCCAAGAATCTCCTGTGCCTGATTGAACATGTCGTCCATGGCCTTGTGTCCAAGCTGTAGCTGTTCCTCCTCGTACTTAGCCACACGCTCCTTGTCAATTTCAACCTTGACCAGGCCCCACGCGTCTTTGACATCTTTGACCACCTGTTTGTATCTAGCCACCTGCCGCTCCGTCTCTTCCTGTTCAATTTCATCCTGACTCTTCCGCTTGAACTTATTTTTCCAAAATTCGTAGGCTTCTCTAGCCAGAATCTTTGCCGTCCGGCGATGAAACGCCTTTTCTTCTTTGAGCAGCTTATTAAAGTGCAAAGTATGTGCAACCACGTGGTCCCAATGACCGTATTGAGCTGGCGGTTCTGGCGCAGCTTCAGGAGCGTAGACAGTGCATCGTTCTTGACTCAGTACTCCGTGTTCGGCAGCTTCAACAATTCGCAACCGGCGTTGTGCCTCGTCCTGGGCCTTTTCCTGTGTTATGCGGAGCGACTCCTCGCCTTCCAATGGGTCATCTTGTTGTAACCATTCTTCGAGTGAAGTGAACTGCGACTTGGGCGGGGCGTGATGGGGATGGCGGTTCGGGGGGTCGGGCTTTCGGAGCCGTAGTCGCAATCGCGGGGCCGGTATTGACGGATTGGAGCCATCGGGCGACGCGTATAGGCCGGCGTCGGGGTCGTGACCATTGGTGTCGGGAGTATCCATGAACTCATCACCTGGCGGGTCAGTCGGTACTTGCATGCCCCTCCGCTGGCGAGTGCCCCGCTTGCGAACTCCGCCGCCAGGCGACCCGTTTTGTAATTGCGGCGACATGACTGGTGTCTGTTTGGCGAGAGCAGAAGTCTTTGTATTCCGCTCAGACTTGCGGGCAGGCGTAGTCAAAGATTGTGCGGACGCCTTCCTAGCAAGGGCAGATGCCGCCTTCCCTTTCGGGACCGACGTCGGTCCTGAGCCATTGCGCGACTCGCGCCTGGTCGCACTCTTGGGGGTACCGTTGGTATGCGTTGCTTTGCTCGCGGGGCGGGAGATGGGCTTTGTGGGCTCGGGTGTGGGCGGCGCAGTCTCTCTATTCACACGCGATGACTTCCTAACGCCATTTTCGAAGACGGTGGTAGGGCCATCTGCTACAAATGATTTCCACGGGGGCGAGGCAGCGCGTGACGTCGAGCGACGTGGCGTGGTGGTCGTGTCTTCTAATTTTCGCCGTTTTGCAGGCCGTCCAATGACGCCACCATCATGGCCATTTACAGAGGCAAGCTGCTCTCCGTCATTGGCGGTCAGGGGCGCATTGTCGTCGTCGTCGGTGCCGTGTCCATGGGGCGCGATGGCGGACGGGCTAGGTGCGTCGGTCGAGTCGCGTGGTGGGATGGAGTCGTAGTCGCGATCCGCGGCAGTAACTTCTTCCATTCAGGAAGGGCGATGGAGGCGGCCTGGGAAGCCTGTAGACCACCCGGCGCGCGGCCAAATCGACATATATCAGCTCAAAACAGATACTACAGAGCAGCTGGATGGGTGCTAAGAGCAGTGCCGGGTCCAGATTTTAGATTCGGCCTCGTGCTGGGATGATGCAATGTGATGTCGAAGTTGAGAGATGGTGAAAACAGAGCCCGGCGATAATGTTTGGCGGCAATCACGCTAACGACCGGCACGGGCGCGCATGGCCAGACCGGGGACGCGCAGCCTGCAAAGACCAGATGCGAATGTGTACGGTGCATGGGCGAGGAGCTGGACTGGAAGCTGCATGGGAAATCTTTGAATTTTTCATTTCTTCCTTCTTGGTACCTGCTTGACAGCGCTGTGGTGGGACATGGACAGAGAACATATGTGGTGCTGGTGGTGGGAGACTTGAGCCCAGCCTGAGCAGCAAAGGACCCACTCTTCTCCCGCCAAGCCCAGTTGGGGCCGCAACTGAGCTCATCGCGAACGACACACCAAGACAGCAACCTGACGAATCCGCCCTCCCCCCGCATTCGCGCCGCCACGTACGCTCACAACCCCGTCAATTCCCTCGGAAACGCACTCACACATCCCGCAGCATGTTCTCCAGGCGCATTGTCGCGGCCCGTCCGCTGGCCCGATCCATTGTCCCCATCGCAGCACGCCCACGCCCACAATTCACCCAGATCCGCACTGCCCTGACCGACGCCGAGAAGGCCCATCTCGAGCTCGCCGACCCCAACCAAGTACGTTTTTCCCGCTCCGGAGTTCAACAAGAGAGGGACAGGGGAGTTTCCAGAATGCTGATCTGATATGTGACAGAATGGCGGCTACATCAACCCACCCGCCGAGAAGCGAGGAAACCGCGATCCCTACGGCGATTACTGGGACAAGCAGGAGCGCCGCAACTATGGCGAGCCCTGCCACGAGGACAATGACATCCTCGGTGTCCTAGCCCTGCACGACTACAACCACTTCAGTCCCCAGTGGGGTTTCGTTCTCATGGGCACCTTTATCGCAACCGTCTTCGGACTCTGCGCCGCTGTCAAGTCTGTCTACCCAGACAAGATCAGTGTGCCCAAGACATACCCGGATGGTCTGGAAGTCGAGCTTGGAGGTAAGGGTGCTGTGCCAGTAAGTCTTGTCTCGCTCGGGTTATTCCTCTCGGACAGGTCAAGGTACTAATTCCATCAACAGGCGAGGAAGCCCGGTCAGGGTTGGTAGGTTACGAGCATGCGAAAATAAATTCGTGTATAAAGTACCACTCGCAATGGAATTCTCCTTGTCATTTTGATACCTTGCACATAAACTACATATAACGTAGTTTACAAGCGAGTGACGCGTACAAGCGAGTGACGCACCCCACCAACTTTGCCCACCTCTCTCATCTCAACGCAACATGGCTCAACGCAGCGCTACTCGATTAATCTCAAATGAAGCAGATATTCAGCTTGCTATCTCCTCTATTAATATTA